GCAGGCAGAAAAAATAAATTACAAGGAGAGAAGAAATTGAAATTGCTTTAAGAAGATACAGTGCAAAGTACCAAAATAAAAGGTGATGGATGGATAAGGTAAGAGCAGTCACAGAACAGTGTTTTTCTTTCATCGTTTTGATGTCTGTTTGTGATTATGAGTTAAAACAGTCTGTGATCCATACAAGTCGGTAGGAATTCAGTTCTTGTAACTTATTGTAATAGCAAAACCCTCTGGATCATTTCTGTAAGGGAAGGGATGGATTAGGTGGATTTAAAGGGAATAGCCTAACTGAGAAAGATTTCTGGAAACTTGGGTTGATCTCCAAAAATTAGGACTCCTGGTTTCATCAGCAATCACCTTCAGCAAGTGCATACTTTTTTACCTCTACTTCAGATACAATGTATAGAAAAATTGATACATTGTGTGATAATGAGCTAATGTTAGACTATGTTCTCATATATTTCCTTCTGGTGAGAATTCACCCTCATCCCTGGTAAGCAGTGATTTCAAAAAGCAAGCGAATATAACAGACACATCTTATGTAACAAGATACTTCACTGGAATAAAGTCTGAAACAGCACTGATGTTAGTGTCTAAGCTGTTTGCCTATCAGACCTGGAGGAGCATAGGAATCTTTGATTCTTGAAAGAAGACTGATTTATAAAAATAAAAATCCAAAATGATCTTCGAGGTATCAGATTAAGACCCAAAGAACCACAAACACGGTTCTTCTCATTGTAATATCTGCCTGACTCCTTTAAAGAAGAACCATCACTATCGTTAAATAAATTTCAAATTAGAAGAAGTTCTGATTATGAGAATAAGCTACAAATATTTATTGACTTTTCTTCACGTTATGCTGATATAAGCGCTGAAAATGTTTATTTTAATACTTACCAGAATCTCTCCCCAGCTGACCTCCCCCTTTCCTCCAGTCACCCGTTTTCTGATCTCACTTCACAGATATTCCAGTGTCGTTTCTTGCACATTCCTGCTTTCTCTCTTATGATTATTCAGTGTTTCATATCCCACAGCTCCCTTTCTAATCACCCCCCTTTTATAGACCTGTTTCTTCTATTTGTCCTGTGTTTACACATACACACACACACACACATGCACACATGCACACATGCACACACACACATGCACGCATGCACACATACACACATGCACACACACATGCACGCACACACACATGCACACATGCACACACACACACACACACGCACGTACACATACACACACGCACATACATGCACACATGCACACACACACACCACACCATACCACACACTATTGTAAGTCTAAGTCTAAATTCCATATACGAGAGGACATCGTACAGAGTCCTATTTCTGCATCTATCTTATTTTTTATTTAACAATTATTTCTATTTCCGCCCATTTTTCTACAAATGTCACATTTCATTTTTGATACAAGAAATTGATGCCACACGTTATTTATCCAGCAATCTCTTGAGAGACATCTAGATTGGCTCTCTTTCCTAGCTGTTATGAATGGTTGAGCATTAGACATATGTAAAAATGTTTCTTTACAACTAGAGTCTTTCAAATAGAATAGTAGAACTCGATCATTTTGTTATTCAATTTCTAATTTCTTGCTGAAATCCTATCCTGATTTCCATAGTCACTTAATCAGTTTAAATTCCTACCAGCAGTAGATAAAGTTTTATCTTTCCCCACATCATAACTATCATCAATTTTTGTTTCATAATTCCTGACTATTAGCACTTGGAAGTCTAATTGTAAAACAATAGTCCTTTCTTTCTTCCACATATTTCATGACATAATCATAGAAAGCAAGGTAGTTTTTGGTTTTTTTCCAGTTTTCAACTTGAATTCTTTTTACGATCAACCTGGGCATATCGGACAGCCCCTTTTGAATGTTAGTCCCTTCTTACGACAATTTCTGAAAATATATCACACAGAGTATTTTTTAAAAGAAAGAAATTGTTAAGCTTTAAAGAGGATGAGAAAAAATTCTCCTGCCTTTATAATACACCATAACACTCCATTAAAAGAAAATTGCCTTTAATGTATTTCATAAGAACATAATCATCTGAGTGAGAAATTAAACTGTCCAACTTATGATGCTAAACAGTGCATCTTAAATGATAGAAAATGAAGAATTCTTTCCTTCTATATTATTTTGTCAGATTTTCTATAGCTAACTTTGCACTTGCGTAGACTGCTATGCTTAAGTATGCAAACTCTGTCTTGAATTCATCAATTCCTAAAAGACTCATCTTGAGAATATTATTATGTCAATAACAGTGCTGCTCATAATTTTATAAACTCACTTCTGTTAATAGGAAGTATAAAATATAAATAATGGATATAAAAGTTAGTAATTTTCTTGTCAAAGATCTTTTCTAAACTCAAGATAGTTTAAATTAATGCTTAATTTTACCGAAAGTATTTTCATTGTAAAGTAAAATGTCATATATTTTAAAAAATGAGATTATTACGGAATTTTAAAAGTGAATGTTTTATTTATTTTCTTATCATACAGAAAGAATTTTGTTATTTTTTATTCTCATTTTTATATAGACATATTATGTAAAAGAATCACACAAAATTCTGTGGTGATAAGATAGGGTTTATTATGGGAGGCTACCTACATCTATCAAGAATACTATCTCAGAGATAAAATATTTATAATATTTACAAAATAATGCAAATCAAATCATATAGCAAACTTGTAAAAAGTACACTAACTTCTTTGATGAAGAGATAGAGAGAGAAACTTACATTTCTGAGAAAGAAACCATGATTAACATCATTGTAACAGCTGAAAGACCAGGCATAGAAGACTTGTTTAAGCTCATGTGGTATTGAGTATATTAATCAGGTTTCTACAGATTGTCAAATAAAATCAGCAGCGTTTTTAAACAAAATTAACTCATGTGATTTTGGCTCCTGAGGAGGTCCCTGGCATACTGGTAAACTGAAAGCCCTTGACAGTGCTAGCATAATGACCTTTGAATCAGAGGTCTCAGAACAAAGGATGAGTGTCTGCCCCAGGGGCCTGAGCATTAATTGGGGAGAAGGAGCTGGTAGTATCAGATCTAGAGTTCTGATCCACTAAACAGTATGAATGTCCATCTAAACCTTTTTCGGAAAGTCTTTTTCTCATTTGTCTCTGTTCCTTGGGGAACAGCCCACACTGAGAGTTGATCTCCATGATTATAGCTATGAACCAATCTCTGAAATACTCTGATTGAAAAAGCCAAAGTAGTTTCCCTGTGCCCTGAAAATTCTTCAAGCTGTTCTATTGAGACCTAAAATTAAATATTCTACTAAACAAGGACTACCAGCCTAGCAGCTTATCTTCAGAGTCAGTGTGGAGAAACCCCTGTCTACTTGTGTAAACCAGGTATAAAGGAGGTGAATCTCTTCCATCAGATGTACTCATTTCTAAAACAACTTTCACATAACTCAGAGAATTAGAACAGGCTATTGAGGAAAGTGGCTTGATAAACATGGCATTTGTAGTCAAGAATAGGAAGAAAGGAAGTCTTAGAAGAAAGATGTAAAGGGCAGGAAGATATATTTTCTGAGTTTGTATTGAATAGATCATAAATAGGACAGTTAGACAAGTTCATTTTTAAGATTGTTGGAAAGGAAAGCATGTTCTACGGACATTGGTGAGTACTATTGCTACAATGTACAATTATATCAATTGAAGTAGAATTATCACATTTTACACATGAATCAGTGTTGATATTGGCAAATATATGTACTTTTCTTAAATGTAATTTTATCCCTTCATACCATTTTCTCCTTGATTCATATCATCATAGAGTAAATGATCATCACATAAAAAAATAATCATGTCCTGGATGCTGAGGAGATGGCTTCATGAATACATGTGTGATATACAAGAATAGGTACCCGAGTTCAAGTTACCAGCATCTACAAGAAAATGACAGCAATGGCTTGCTTGTAAATCTACCGTTGGGCAGCAGAAATAGTCAAATCCTCGGAGTTCCCTGACCATTCACAGTATTTTATTCACATAAAGCTACAGGTTCAATTCAATACTCTTGTACTGGTTAGTTCTTTCTCAATCTGACATAAAGACTAAGTGCTTGAGGGGAAGAAATTTTGATTGAGGAAATGTCACAATCAGGTTTGGTGTATAGGCATATCTGTATGTCTTTTTATATTTTTTCTTGTTGATGGATGTAAGAGAGCAAACTCTAAATGATATCACTTCTCTGCAGTTGATCAGAAGAGCATAAGCCAGGTAGCTGAATGTCAGCCTAGGAGCAAGCCACTAAACAACTTTCCTTCATAGTCCATGCCTCTCAGCCTCACAGAAATGAATTCTTGACATGAATTCTTGCTATGTTAATCTATTCTCAGGATATATAAAGTCTAATGAACTCCTCAAGTTGCATCTGGTCAAGCTTTTATCACAGCAACAGAAACAAATCTAGGACAACCTCGCCTTAGTTGGTTAAGAGAGTTTTAGCCATGTTATATAGATATTCTTCTTAATTCCAGACCACACACATGAATCCATGCACTCTCATGCACAAGTTCACTCATATACAAGTTCACACAGACACACACACACGCACACACACACGTATGTGTGTGTGTGTGCAGCTAAATATAACAACAGTGGTGAAATGAATATATGTATTTGCATGTGCAAAACCACACACAAATATATAGAGACTGCTAAAATCTTGCTTATATATCATTGATAATAGTTTTGTAGGATTCTGTTTTTGATGTTGTTTTGGTGTTAGTCTTGTTTTCAGAAAGAGAGAGAAAGAACATAAGGTTGTGAGTAGAGGGAGGACCTGGGAGCTGTTGATGGTGTGGGAAAAACATGACCAAAACATATATTATAATATATAATATATGTATAATATATAATATAATATATAATATAATGTATTATATATACACTTAACCAGGAATGTAGCCCTCTTTCACCATACTTGGCTCCACTGTGCTTCTTTCCAGGCAAACCTGTGATGATAGTGACGGAATACATGGAGAATGGCTCCTTAGACACGTTTTTAAAGGTAAGGTTTAGCTTTAGTGTAGCTACTGATTGCCATATGTATTTTCTTCATGAACTGAAATTAAAATTGAGCAAATTTAATGGTAAAGTTTTAAATAGATTTAAAATAAAATCGCCAACACCATTATATGCCATAAGTAATGGGTATTTGTATGGTACTTTTTTTTTCCTAGAAAACTTATAGAAATCCAATTGTATGCTCCTGTAATTTTATTTAAATATATGATTACTTTAAATAAAATGAAAGTAGGGATGAATAGAGAAAAGAAATGATCGGAGGTGTTGGGGTAAATCTCCAACCCAAATAGGATTAATCAAAGAAAACACAACTCAAAAATTATGAATACAAACTGCACACCTAGATTGGGCAGATTTACCACTACTCTATTTTATTCCCCATCTATGAGGTCTCTTATAACTTGTGGTTTTTCTAGGTCACATCCTTCTCCTCCATTGTCCTTCCACTTCTCTCTCCTCAGGTTGTCTCTCACTCCTCCTCTCCAGTTGTCTCCTCCCTTTCCTCGTTTCTGTCCTCCCCTTCCTCTCTTCTTCTCCCAGCTCCATCTCCTCTTCTAATGCCTAATCACTGAGCTTCACTGCGAATACAATGTAGCAGAATAAGTATCCTGTTACACAAAAGTAAGAAAGAAAGAAAGAAAGAAAGAAAGAAAGAAAGAAAGAAAGAAAGAAAGAAAGGGAGAGAGAAAATTAAGGGAGGAAAGGGACAGAAACAAGAAAAATGGAAACAGTAAATAAAAGTCATACAAATACCCAAAATATTAAAATATTTTTATTTATTCTCTGACAGTTTCATACATGTCAAATGGTTTTGATCCTATTCATTCATCCCCACACTTAACCATGTTTCACTCGCAGTGATAATTTTCTTCTTACCAGCAAGTTCTGACTCCAGTAGATTGTCATAAGTTCTAATTCTAGTATATTGTCATGATGTGTGTGTGTGTGTGTGTGTATGCATACATAGGTTTGGTGTGTGTATGTGTGTGTATGTGTGGGAGAGTGTGTATGTGTGTGTTGCTCTGTGTGTGTGTGCGTGTATGTGTGTGTGTTTGTGTGTGTGTGTGTGCGTGTGTGTGTGTGTGTGTGTGAGAGAGAGAGAGAGAGAGAGAGAGAGAGAGAGAGAGAGAGAGAGAAGCAGAAAAGTCAAGTCACTTGTTGGAGCATGCACAACTTGCCAGTAGCTACCACATTGAAAAAGATGTTCTGTTTTTCAGCGAATAGTCTCAAAGAGGGAATAGACTTTGTTGCTACCATCCCCTATACTTGATAGAATATTGAAAAATGCTGTGTTGTTCAGATTTTGTGCATGTGACCACAGCTGCAGTGAGTTAATTAGTGCTGTGACTAAGTCATGTCTAAAAGACAGTACCTCATAGCACCCCTCATCCTTTATATCTTGCATCCTTTTCCCCCAATTTTTCCTTATGTACCTTGTCCTGGAGTGGATGATATAGATGCACTCTACTCTTCAACATGCATGGTAAGGGCCATTGGAAAAAAGTGTATGTAAAATGTTCACACATATCATTACTGAAGATATCAAACTGGAATCTGTAAAGCACAACTATGCCTCCAAAGATCAGCAGAAATGTGGTCAGCCTGAGATTATAGCTAATACAATCATGTGTTCTGGGCTTCAGGGATGAAACAGTTATATGCACACCTGCTGGTTTTAAATATTGATATCAAGTCACTTTATTTGTAAATAGCCTGCATAAAGTAATGTCACATTTTCATATCTGAGTAACCCATAGTCTGCAAGTTTGTAAGTTCAATCAATACCGTGAGTGTTGCTTCTTATTGTGGGAAAAGACTGCTATGAAATTGTTGGCAACTTTGAAAGAGTCTGTGAGGGATTATTGTCATGTTTCGTTATTACGTAAGGTTTCTATTTTAATCCTCAAGCCACACCAATGTACTACAATATTGCCGGTTTACATGTCTTCATTTGCAGGTTGTCCAGTCTTTCAGAGTTGCATCATCAGTTTATCCAAAGTGATTCCAGCTACTAGTGAAGCTTCATGAGTTCACTTAACTTTATTGCAACTAATGTCTTTGACAAAAACAACAAATTTCCAGAAAGTGTTGACATTTTGCCACTCAGTGGTCAGTAATTATCCCTGCTCTCATACACCCTGCAGAAAGCCCTGTATTTTCTCAGGTTATTTCACCTTTACTCATCTAGATAACTTTTTAAAAAATTACCACAAAATATACTCAGTGTTAACTGAAGTTGGCACTGAGTTAGAACAATGAACAAATTTCTCTGAGGTCTGACAATAACGAAGATGCAGTGAATAAAAGACAACCTGGACCTTTTTAAATGACACCCTTTGCTTTTAATAGCCTATAAGATGAGGTACCATACACCATTCAAAGATATACATGTCATAGGATTGGAACTATTAAGCCAAGAATGCAGACAATGAAGATATGTTGAAACATGGATAGGAAATGAACCTATAGGAAAAAAAAACAGAAATGATTAAGAACAAAATAATTAGGGAATAACACAATGGAAATATGGATGGCTGGTAATTTCAACTGAACGAAGCAAAAGTTGACAGAGTTTCAGTATTCAAGTAATTATTGGTGTTATAGACTCACATGCCATCAGAGATATTACCAAGTCAAAAGTCAAAATGTTTACCTCTTGAATAGAATACGTAATAATGTATCATTTTTATGTGTCTTCTTTATATTGCTTTTATGCACATTTGTAGTTTATGGCCATTAATAATTAAGGATTACATAGAAAATTCTTATAAAAAGATAGCATGACTATAAAAAATTGTTTCTTGAACAATCCATCACCAGACTCTGAGTATTAGCTATGAAACAAGGGCACTGCCATTACCACATTATGCTAGTTTAAGGCTATTTGCTTTTCTTCTTTTTGAAGCTAATTTGCCATTAAATTTAAATCCATATGGGAAGTATAGTACTAATATAATACTCCTTATAGGAAGTATAATACTAGTGTCTTTGCCTTGAATATATATTTTCATGAAGGAAATTATATCCTTAATGTATTTGAACATAGTTGTATAATTCCTATAGATTTTGGTACACAGTTTGTTCAAAGCATACCTACACATTTATTTGTGTACTTTTTTATTTAATGGTTTCCTATTTGTATATAATGAATTTTAGTCCTTTACATATTTTATTACACTATCTCCTCCCTTTTCTTCTCCTACAGAATCCTTCTTTCTGAAATGCCTATATTTGCAGTCTGTGTGTGTGTGTGTGTGTGTGTGTGTGTGTACTGAATGAGGTTTTGAAGGACTTTCAAAGTCTTTGCTTCATTTGACCAGATCACTATAATCAGTTAAGTTTGTGGTTTCTAATGTTTTTCATTCTCCTTGAGTAGAAATCACATTTGCATTTTGAAATGTGTTAACATTAATTTGAAGATTGAAAGAAGGCGTTTTCCAAATTTTCCTCCTGTGAATTGTACCTCTAGCCTAACGTTACACGGTCTTTGCAGAAAAACGATGGGCAGTTCACTGTGATCCAGCTTGTTGGCATGCTGAGAGGCATCGCTGCAGGAATGAAGTACCTTTCTGACATGGGCTACGTGCATAGAGACCTTGCTGCTAGAAACATCTTAATCAACAGTAACCTTGTGTGCAAAGTGTCTGACTTTGGACTTTCCAGGGTACTGGAAGATGATCCTGAGGCAGCCTACACCACAAGGGTAAGATCTAACAGAATGCATTTCTGCACACTAGACTAGAGTCATTTAATTTTTAAAGATGTTAAAAGAAGTAGCAAAAAAAGGCATACCTCCAAAAAGGCCCAGAGCAGACAGAGAAAACATAAGAGAATTGAGAGAAACAATAGAAAATCCAATTCTACGTTTTTTAGTACAAGAAAATTCAAATATTAAACTTATATAATAAAAGTATTTACTTTCCAAATCTCAGTAATTTATTTTTTTCTTAAGGCTATTATGATGGTTAGTATTATGTCAATGTGACTCAAGCTAGTGTCACTGAAGAGAAGGTAGCCTCAAATGAGAAAAGACTGGGCTCTAAGCAAACCTGGCGGGCCTATGTTTTACTTAGTTTTTTAGTTAGTAATTCTTAGGGAAGGGCCCAGCCAATTATAGATGGTGTCATCCCTGGATTGGTGGTCTTGGGTTCTATAAAAAGGAGAGTGAGTAACCACCACGGGTGACAAGTCAGTAAGAAGCCATCCATGGCCTCTGCATCAGTTCCTGCCCCCAGGATGCTGCCCAGTTTGAGAAACTGTTCTGACGTCAGTTGATGTCAGTTGATGAACAGTGATGTGCAAGCATAAAACAACTATATCCTTCTCTCCACAAGTTGCTATAGTGTTTTTATTGCAGCAGTAAAAATCCTATGTAGGACATATGCAAATAACACAAATCCTGAATTCATAAAGATTCAATGTCTACTTGTGTGTGTATGCATATGTGTGTGTGCTATACAGTATTTAAAATAAAATGCAAGTTACATACAGAATTTCTTATATTAAAATATATATGCTTACTTGATATATTTATGAAGAAAAGGTATGGGTGTATGCACACATTAACACATATAAATAGTATTACTGGAAAATTTAAATTATCTGTAGTATAGTGTCCTCAATTGTGAAATAAGTTAAAAAGTATTTTATTCTTCATCTCGTTTATGTTGTTGGAAAAAAGTTTCACTTCTTGTAGAAGTTTTGATTTTCTGGAGCTATTGAAATGTCTCACTGCTTGATTTACAACATATAAGAACTATTAAGCCTACATCTATGGAGTACTGGTTATTACTCACAGTATAATAGCTATCATAAATATACAGCTTATGGCAAACAAATTCTTCCCTGAGATAATGTGATATAAAATTAGCCGAAGAAAACAGTGACGATTTTTGTAAAAAGATTTTGTGGACCTTTCCATTTGAACCTTTTAATAACAGTTTAGGGAATTCTAAATGATTTCAGTATTATCACCTTGGATAGCCTCAAAATCTAAGTATTTTATATACTTACAGCGTATAGATAGACTAACTTTGTTTCAATACAAAATGACACTCTCATCATCTCTAATTCACAATTTATAATTTGTGAATTCCATGTCTTTTTATAAAACTATAGTGTAAAAATTGGTGCCTAATAAAAAGTTCTTTAAGAGATTATGTGGTTAGCTTGTTTCATTTTGCCAACTTTGACTTGTGGCACATGGATTTTTGAGGATGTGTAACATGGGAAAAAAGCAAAAGTAATTTAAGCAAACAAAGACTTCCAAAGGTCATTTCACTAAATCAATGAATTAATTGATGAGATGTCTCTTCTCTTCTACACCTATTACTACCATTATTTTCATTAAATGAAAACTCAATTAAGAATTCTCCTGGGACTAGAGTTGCACTTAATAAAGTTGGCCCATGCAAGATTGAGGTTATGGTAACTCTGTTGCTGTTGTGATGGATGGGTGTCTTAGTTAAATTAAGAGTAGATTTTTCCAAGGTCCTTGTCACTGTGTTATGCAGCAACACTTGAAGAATAACCAGAGACACTAATATGTTCAAAGCTTCCTTCTACAAAAGTCGTGTGGCAGCAGTTTGTAGAAAATATGTGTAATGAGAAATAATCGGCCTTGTGAATCTCAGAAGTTAGTGATACACACGTATTATTCCAATAAACAGTAGAACAATTTAGGGATGAAGCTCGGCATAATCAATAAACTACAAATTGGAAAAGGTAATTAAATCATAACATGCAAAACATAACAATTTTCCAGCACTCTGAATTCTCAGTATACTAAGATAAGACCATTCCTGGGAGCCAAAATTTCAAGGCCAATCTAGTCTACAAAGCAAGATTTTTATTTTAAAATACAAAGCAATATAAATGTAATCAACAGCTGGAAGTGACAGCAGCTGTTAAGAGCACATACTGCTCTAGTAAAGAACATGAGGTAAACATGAGTTAGGTTCATAACATGCACATCAGACAACCTAAACCACCTGGAACTCCAGCCCTGGAAAATCTGGGACCCTCTGCAGTACCTCCATTCATATGCACTCCCCGCCCACTACACAGAAGTAAAAATTTCAAAATTAAAAAGTTATATAAATAAATAGACAAATGAAAATAAATCAAAATAAAATAAGCATGTCATGTACATTTGTGTGTTTTATATATACTTACTAGGCAAAACAACTTCCAAAAAAATATTTCAGACATATTATTTTGAGTGGTGTGTGTGTGTGTGTGTGTGTGTACAAATATATTAAGCCTAAGTTTAATTCCTTCCAAAATGTTAATCATAACTTTAAACTTATTTCCCCCAAAAGCTTGAAAGTTTGGTTTTGTAGTGGAAATTTCTCTCTCTTTTTTGTTTTTTGCTATCTTTTTATTATTCTTTTCTACAATGAACAGGTGTAAAGTAATCTTTTTACAAAAAAAATTCTGAGTCTCTTTCAACATGCATTAGCAAATAGACAGAAAAATAACTTTAAAATGAGTTTTTCCTGAATACCTCAAGCTCAATAAATTATTGATTAGTTCAGTTAAACAATAGCATTTTTTTAGGTTCAACATTCTAACTGAGCAAAAACCAAAGTATATTATTAAAAGGAGAAAAGTCAAGCTTTACAGAAATAAAATATGTCAAGGGATAGATATCTTTTAGTGTTTGGTATGTAGAATTCCCCTGCTTGTCTTACAAACTGTTAAATAACTCAGAGTTTTATTTAACAACTGAGACATTCCACTTATAATTCTGTACTTTAATAAAAGGCATGCAGAGCCCTTAACTTTTATTTAGAGTCCTTGACTTTCCCAATGCTCAGCATACACTGTATTGATGTGCTTGAATACCTCCCGCCCCTACTCAGAGCTGCCATCCTGAGCACTATAATTGAGATGTAGGTCCTGTATGCTTTCCAAGCGTCAAACAGAATTTATAGCAGAAACCTTCCCGACAGCCAATTAGTTGTTAGTCTACAAGTGCTCATGGGCTGGGAGATGGGAAAAGAGACTGCCTGCTGTCAAACAGATTCACTTAAAAATGTTACATCTCTTTCTAGATCTTCTCAAACAAGACACAGTATCCCTAGATATCCTTGAAGTATGCAAGAATATGAATATATGTATATATTAATATTTATATAGGAATATACATATGTATATTTACATATATATGTATATGTGTGTGATTTTAATTTTAGGGAGGCAAAATTCCAATCAGATGGACTGCCCCAGAAGCAATTGCTTTTCGAAAGTTCACCTCTGCCAGTGATGTCTGGAGCTATGGAATTGTAATGTGGGAAGTTGTGTCTTATGGAGAGAGACCCTACTGGGAGATGACCAATCAGGATGTAAGTACAGAGATATTCTTTCTCTCTCAAGTTGAGAGTGAAATGTTTTGTCCTTTGAGTAGAGACTCTTAGTAGTATTTTAATTGTGGAAATGACAGTTACTTGAAAAATATGAAATACTTTGTTTACATTCTGATGCATTCGTTGCTATTGAAATATCCTTTATGCAAGAGCTAAATGTGAGATGAGATAAAGGAAAATAAAGTAAGGAAAAAAAACTCCTCAAATCTCTTGTCAAGTAGATTTAGCTGTACCATAGTGTTGCTTCACTCGGTTCATGTCCATATTATTTCGGAAGATGAAATGGGAGCAACCATATAAGAATGAGTGCTGAATGGCTAGCGTTTGAAATATAAGATGAGTTACACTGTGCATTTAATAGGTAGAAATGTGAATATTCTTGTTACAATAGAAATATAATTAATTTTTAGAAGTATATAAAGCTAACATGAAAGAAAACATTGAACAGTTTTCTTTCCAAGTTCAAATGCTTATGTTATGATGGCTAGGAGAGGTATAGTTTTAGCTTTGATCATTTCCCATCATTAATATTCAATACATCCTCTTTAATTCTGAATATGAAATTTGATATTTTCTTTCTGTTAATAATTATATAGACATATAGATTGTATTGATGATCCTTGGAGCACTGATTCTCATCCAGTGGTTCACAACCCCTTTGGGGGTAAAATGACTCTTTCACAGGCTCCTTTATGAGATTTCTTGTATATCAGATAGTTCCATTATGACCCATTGAAATAAAAAAAGGACACTTATGAAGTAACAGTGAAAATAATTTTATGGTTGGGGATCCATGCTCGTGTGTAATTATAGTAAACAATCACAGCATTAGGAGGTTAAGAACAACTCCTTAGTAGTATGATATTAACTACTTACCAACGAATAGCTCATTATTTCTTTGCAAATTATGTATATTGAACAATATTAACTCAATAGTGTGCTTATTGGAAACATTGTTTTTGTTCTCCAATTCCTTCTTGTATCCTAACATTGTAGCATCTCCTTTCCTTTGTGTGCTGTCGGGAGTTCATAGCAGATACTATGAGTTTGCAGTTCATTTTGTTTGCAACAATAATTCCAGACAAGCAATTAACACTGATGTTTGAAGCCCAGCCAAAACTATATCTCAGGTGCATTTCAAGCTATAAACCCCAACTGTGGGCTATAGCAACACAAGTTATGCAAATAGTTGTTCCTTTTCATTTATACAAATCTGTATTTGGATTAATCCAGTTTTGTCTAAGTAGAGAAGCAGAAAACTTCAGACAAATTTGATTTTTACTGATAAGTTGTTAACACCTGTTATGAACAAACACCTGGATATCAATACACATTAATACTTTTTATTTAAGGTATGCGTCTATCTATGTTCTACAAAGATACCTATAAGAGTTTTCTGGAAAGGCCAACGAGGACAATGCAGTGTAGCTGACATGTTAAAGCTACTGTATCTTGCTGCTCATTTCCCTTCTCATGATCTCTTGCCTCAGCATGCCTGTGTTTCCTGCTAGGAGCACTCCATTTCTCCAACTTTGTAATGATTAATTCAGGCTGTAATGCCAAGTCTATATTCTTTAATTTTCCTTAAGTGGGTAGCCAGAGAAACATCTCAGCTTTCTCTGGATTTACATCTTAGTATTTTTCTCCCATGGCCTCAGCAGATGATAGTGATGAGTTCCTTCAGCCCTCTGTAGTCACCTACAATTGTTATAGTTTATTTTGTAACCAACTCACTTGGATTGAGAAAGTGAGTATTGACATATACTTCTTTACAACTAGTGGAGAAGAGTCTCTATTGTCTTCATTCTTGAGCTTTAAGGCATGGAGCTACATCAAAAAATATCATTCAATTCCTGTAATATGTGTTTGTCTATAAATTCAACCTATATAAATAAATATTTTAAGATTATATTTGTATATGTATACTTAACACATTACAGGGATGTTATTATTATTTCTTCTTTTCAATGGAAAACTGGGGCATAGAGAAGCTCAGTGATTTTCTTAATGTCACAAAATAATGAAATTTACAGTAGACATATCAACTTTTCACATACTTTTTAAAATCTATGATTTACCACAATTGCTATGATTTATAGAAATTGAATTATTATGTACCAATGCTCTCTGTGTCCCAACCATATCATCCTTCAAAATGAATGACACATTAGATATAAAATTCAATACATAGCGACTAATCTAGATTGAAGATAGCTAGACAAAGATTTGTTTTCTACAAATCTTTATTTTTCATGTGTATACCAGGTACTCACATCATCTTTGCACCATCGTAGTTTTGCTTTTAATTTGTGCCAAGGTTCATTTTCTTTTGTATGTGCTGTCACAAAGCCCTCAAACGACAAGCCATACCATGTATGGATTCTATATCATTCTATAGAAATACCATTCCCTTGTTTGCCAGCCTCCAAAGTTACTTCTCCTCATGCCTGAGATATTTTGAGTTCTGATTTAATAGTCCTTCTTAATTGTGCAATGAATCCTTCAGTCCCCACATACCAGATTTTTGTATTATATCAGGTAGAGTTGAAATTATAATAGATGAAGTCATAGATCAAACTATGACTCTGATTGAAGATGAATTTTGCTGTGTATCTTTATGGATATTTTCTAAGATTGCCCAGAGTCCAGACACAGGAAGTCTACACTGTTAGATGTTTTACTTTTCTCCACAAGTCTCTCCCCTTTTAGCTACACCTACCTGGCTACCCAAAACTTACCAAATTTGCTGAATTCTCTAGGGTTTGGTTGAAGTGACCCAAGCTAGAATCATCTGAGGGCAGGGAACAACAATTTAAAAAGAAATATCTTGGTAAGATTGGGTCTTCAGTCAGGACTGAGGAATATTTCTTTCAGTTGATGATTGATGTGGGAGGACTCGGGCCATTGTGGCATCCCTAGGTAAATAGTCCTCAAGTTTATAAGAAAACGAACTGAGAATTATGTAAAACGAACTGAGAATTATATGAGAAGTAAACCAATAAGCAACATTTCTCCATGGCCACTGCTTCAATTCCTGCCTCTAGGCTCTTGCCTTGATTTCCTACCCTGATTTCCCTCAGGAATGGACTATAGACCTTAAGCTGAAATAGATCCTTTCTCCCTCATTTTGTGTTATTATGACAATAGAAACATATGACATTGCCAAGTACCCTAAGTGTAAGAATAAGCTTCAGTGCATGTTAGCAAACTCTGTACTAAAAGCCCCTGGTCAACTCCACAATTTGGCAGGTAAATCCATGTCAGTGTTTTAGTAGGTCGACAATATAGTTGCAGGGAAAAAGACATTGGGGTTGGAAGCTTAAGGACTTATGGACTATATACTCATCTTTCTTCCCACTGTGATCTATATCTGCATGTATCTCATATACTAAATCGCCATCTTTATACTTTTTAGATTTTTAATTCTTTGGTGATTCATAGCTTATTTGGTACTGTAGCATTATGTAATATTTCTGTCACGGCTGCTATCTTTGTTGCTTTTATCATTAGTCCTTATTCCCTGTTAGTTTATGTTGCTTATTTCATTTATTTCAGTTTATTATTCTGGGGGGGTTATCATTTTCTAACTAACATTTCAAGAAAAAATAGAAGGAAATAGGAATGCTGTATCTTCAAGTATAATATAAAAAGGAATACTAGTAGTAAGTTTTGGTCAGATCTACTCATGTATATGAACCTTACAACAAATGCTCATCTACTCACAAATCTTTCGAAAAAGTGCCTCTAAGTACAATGTAGAGTAGTATTTGTTTGCTTTTAGTCATCAGTGACAGTTCATTTCTGGATCCTGTATTAAGTGGATTGTGCTTCAACTTCTCCCTAAATTTTACACAAACAACCACACATCAGAAACACTGAACTCAATAATCACTGATTTTCATTGATGAGGGGGATGGTGGAGGGAAGAAATCACATAAAAATAAACAAACAAAAAACAACCTCAGAGATGATTCTACAATTTCAGAACTTAAGTCCTAAGATTATATAATCCCTACAATCCTGATACTATCAATTAAACCTTGATATTAATTCCTGATATGATCTGATTCAAAAGAGGGATTTTGTTATCATAAAGTGTAATCTTACAAATTCATCAAAAATACTCTAAATCTCACAGAATCTTCCTCTGTGCCAGGAAGAGGAATAATACAGAACACAATCATCTCCTTTTGATTCAGGATTGCTTCTAGCATCACAGAGCAAAAGGAGTCACAATGAAAATGCACATGGATGAGTGAGGTGATCTTAAGAAATATGAATCCATGAACTCCGAAGAACTGAGAGTATCCTATAGTTAGTGGAATCCAGTTTGTTACTAGAAAACATTTTATATGTCAAGACTTTCCATAACACAAAATAAAAAAATTAATATTTCATGATGTAACACTTTTATATTTAAACACAGTGACATTCTTTGTTATGTATTCCTGAACATATGAGTAAGTATGTTCTATTAAAGACATAAATTCAAGATAGATTATAATTATACTAATCTGGTTTCTACTCCTGCATCTGATTTTCTTTGTCTTTTCATGGGCAATTTATTTTCAATTCATTTTGTTTTAATTCTGCAAGTGCTAATTCAATAGATTTATTACTGCTTTTGATAAACTACAATGTCCATAACAGGTTACAAGAATACAGAGCTGTAAAGTGCATCGACCTACTTTTGTAATGGGGGTACCTCTACTACCAATCCTATACAGTTTCTAATTTTTGATGTGGATATTTTATACACATATGTGTATATCAGATTCTGTAAATCACAATAAATAACTGGTTGTCTTAGAGCATTCTGTATTATAGTAGCAGAATATTTAATGCCAAAATAGCATATATTTAATTACTTTTCTACTGTTACTAAAATACACCACAACAAAGGCAACTTGTAAATGAAATCATTTAATTGGGCTTCTAATTTCATAGGTCTAGGGCTTCCTCAATCCTGGGCAGCGTTG